ACAGGCACCTGCCACAACGCCTGGCTATTTTTTTGGTTGCAGCCGACATTGTTGTTTGGTGGGCCCAGGCTGGATTTGAACCTGCCAGCTCAGGTGTATGTGGCTGGCGGCTTAGCCGCTTGACCCACAGGCACCGAGCCGGAAATTCCACTTCTGTCTCCACATTTCCTCCCACTCTCCCCCTTTCTGGTCTGAACCAGGCTGTACTACTCATTTGTTACTTGAGCTCTCTGATCTTCACCTGGAAACAGGCGACCAAGACCAACTGCTGAAAGTGGGACTGAAGGATACAACAGACATAATTGTATATCACAAGTGCCTGGTGCACTGCAGGAGCTGAATGCACTCCCCTGACCCTGGCCTTCCTTACTTTGGAAAGACCAAGTTGTATAGAAAGCTACCTTCAAAGAAGCTTCTGGGAAAAAAGCCTCGCGTTGGTGCCTCCCACACCCCTATACTCAGAAGAGATGTCTGAGCCCTCGTTGCTTCCCAGGAGAGCCACAGACAGCACTGACATTCAGCAGCAGAGAATTATTTCTTTATTAGGTGCCACCTCAGAGAACAGGGAATCTGAGTGACTAGGGGGCATAGGGTATAGGCATACTGGGCCCTCACACCCCTACCCCCACCTTTTTCTGGGCCCAGGCAAAGAAGATGCCCTTGACATCATCTACACCTGTCTGAAGGTGGGCAGGCATGGTATAGGTACGAAGGTCTCGGACCTCATAGCCACTATGCACCAGGGCCTCCCTCACCTCCTCCTCACACACTGGCACCACTGCCAGCCTGGCCTCTCCAGCCAGGTACCATGACTCCTCCACAGCCCCAATGAGGAGGAGGTGCCCCCCAGGCCTCAGCAGTGTGGTGATGTTATCCAGGGCACGCTGGAAGCTGGCCAGATCTGGGCTCACAGCCTCCAAGCAGAAAGTGGAGACCAGGGCATCAGCAGGCAGGGGTGCCGGGCTCTCGGTGCCCAGGGGCCAGGGTTGGTGCACATCAACAGGCAGGACCCGCTTCACCCGGGCTCGAAGCTGGCTCTCCTTCTCCTGCCAGGACTCACTGTGCAGGGGCACAAGGTAGGGCTCAGGACTGTCCCACCCTCAGACCTCTCTGCCCCCCACCACATACATTATGGGAGGCCCCCTGCCCAGCCCTCACCCCCTAGCCCTTACCCCTTGCCCTCAATGAGGCAGACGTGCTGGCTGTAGGTGCTCCAGTTGAAGGACCCCGGCTCCTCACGCAGCCAGAGCCCTAGCTCCTGGCGGTTAACCTCCAAGAAATCTGTCATGGTGATGTCCTCGAAGTGGGCACAGGCACTGAGCAGCTGGTATATGGTGGGGCCTGAACCAATGTCAATGAGTGTGCGTCCAGACACCTCACCTGAGCAGGCAGAGGAAGACAATCCTGGTACCAGGCCTAACTCAGTCACCCACCTCTTTACCTGCTTCTCACCCCCTCTCTGGTTCCTTCTCCCCCTGTAAGTGCGACTCTACCTAGAGAAAGGACTAGTTCCAGAGTTAGACAACCTGGCAGAGTTCTGGGGACTCACCTACCTTGGGAAAGGAACTTACCCTCTCTGAGATTCTGATCCACATCTAGGAAACTGCATCGACCAGTGAGGGCTGGTAGGGAAATCCTGACAGTGCTTGGCTGTTTCTCTCTCCCCTTCTCCAGTCTCTGCCTCCATTTCTTTCTCTGTTTCTCTCTTCCTGTCAGTCTCCCCTGCATCATTCCCCACCTCAGGCCTCAGTTCTTTTTTTTTTTTTTTTTTGAGACAGAGTCTCACTTTGTTGCCCTCAGTAGAGTTTGATGGTGTCATAGTTCCCAGCAACCTCCAGCTCTTGGGCTCAAGCAATTCTCTTGCCTCAGCCTCTCCAGTAGCTGGAACTACAGGTGCCTGCTACAAGGCCGAGCTATTTTGTTTTGTTTTAGCAGGCCCAGGCTGGGTTCAAACCCACCAGCCCGGGTACATGTGCCCAGCCATTTTTTTTTTTTTTTTCTTGAGACAAAGTCTTAAGCCGTCCCCCTGGGTAGAGTGTCCTGACATCATAGCTCCAGCAACGTCCAACTCGGGCTCAAGCGATCCACTTGCCTCAGTTTTTTTTCTATTTTTAGTAGAGACTGGGGTCTCGCTTTTGCTCAGGCTGGTCTCGAACTGGTGAGCTCAAGCAATCCACCCACCTCGGCCTCCCAGAGTGGTAGGCGTGAGCCTAGCCCTCAGTTCTGAGCATTCTGCTTCCCCTTTCCACCTCTCTCTCCTCTGCCCCTCTCCTAAGGGATGTCGCTCCCTCTCTCTTCTGTTTGCACTTCTTAGCTATCTCTGCTTCTTGATCCTCATCCTCCTCTCTTGATTTCTTTTTTTGTCTCTCCTTGCCCCCTTTAGCTCTCTGTGACTTCCTGTTCCTTGTGCCTCAGTTTCCCCGCGCTCACCGGTAGCGAAGGTCTGCGCCAAACAGCTCAGCTTCCAAGGCCCGACGCCGTCCGGGCTGCTCAGGTCCCCACGCGGGGGCGCGTAGTTGTTGCGGAGGTAGGCGCGGGGCTCGAAGCGCTGGTAGGCCAGGGCCACCGCCGCCCGGCCCGGGTCCGAGTCAGGGGCTGCGCCCGCCGCGTAGCTCGCGTCTTCCTGGCTCATGCTGCTGCCACGACCCGCGCTGTCCGCCGCTGGACTCGCGGCCCCTTATCTACCGCCAGACCCCCTGCCCGGCCCCTCTGCGGTGGGGGCTGCAGCTGAGTTATGAGCCGCCCAGGGCCACGCGCGCCACGTGTCCCCCACCCCATCCATCTCCGTTAATGTCCGAGCAGCAGACACACCGGAGGTGAGGGAGGCGGCCATGGAGACATCAGCTCCCGCCCCACCCCGCTCCGCACTTGCTCCCGCAGCCCCCACCCCTCGCCTCACCTGCCCGTTCCAGTCCCGCCTCGCGCCCCCAGCCTCAGCTCCTGACCCCGAGGTCCTGGATCTTCCCACCCCGTCAGCTCGGCACCTCCCGTCCGTCCTCTCTCCAGCTCCCCGCAGCCATTCACTCCTTTGCCCAGCATCCAGTCCCTGCTCTTCCCCATGGTTGCACCCCCAGACTCCCGCCAGGCTCCCCTTCGTCCGGACATCCTTTCCAACACCCACCCTCTCCTTAGTAATGTCACCCCAACTCCATTTCTCCGCCCCTCCTCCAATCCTCTCTCCTCGCCCTTTCCTATCCCACCCCGTCCTCAGCACCCCCTCCCCCCACCTCAGAAAGGACAGTCCGTTCCGGCCTCTGCTGCTGTCGCTCCGGGGGCCCCCAGAGCCAGGATTGGGCTCCGCTCGTCCGATGGCAGTAGCGATAAGGGAGGCGAGAAGCGCTAATGCACTTAGCAGGCGGAACTGCCGGTTCCCTGTGAGCCCCGCAGGCTTCACGCCGCTTATCTGAGGGCTGTCCAGGACAGAAGGTTCGGGATGTTCCCGCCATCGCTGGGGCGCTGGACCCAAGTACCGGTCGAGGGCTCGGAACAGACCTTCCAGGGGCCGCCAGGGGGCGTAGTCCGGACCTTTAGGCGCCTGCAGATTTGGAGTCCCACGGGTCTGATGTCCCTGACCTCGCTCCTCTGGAAGCTCAGCCCCCTCTGCGATAACTACACATACCGGGTCTGCAGGTTCAGTGGACGCTCCAGGTGTCCGGCTGTCAAGATGCTGCGATGTCTTCACTCCTGTCCCCACAAATGGAAGACGATTCTGCCCACAACTTCTCTCCATGGTTTTCTTGATGGGAGACCCCTCTGGAACATCCAGTACCCCCTCCCCTGGGTGGGCTATCAGCTTAAGCCGAGTCTTGGCTCTGCTTAATCCTCCTTGTCCCAAGGAGGGAAAATCTTGGGGGGCAAAGCAGCCAGATTGGGCCATCAGTCAACACAACAGCTGCAGGGGTCATAGACAGGAACCTGACCTCCTCCACCCCCTTCCACCTTACCCTATGCTCCCAGGACAGAGAGGGTGGAGCACTGACCCCAGCCAAGGATTGATTCTGTCTGGATTCAGAACTGAGAGGTTAGCCTTAGGGTCACTGACCCTGTCCACACCCTGAGGCACAGCCAAAGACAGTCCTTGTGCCAGTCTCCTCTATATTCTCCATGAGACATCATTGAAACAAACCTTGGTGCCAGCTGGCCTGCTGGGCACTGCCCAGTGCCAGCATGTTGGACATGGAAGCCAGTACTGGGCAGCAGCAGACAGGAACAAGAAGGGGACGGGATTGATAGTCACCCTGTTTACAACTTTGTCCCTACACCCCTCTCCCAGAGAAGTGTACCCACCAGCTCTGCCATATTTAGCTCAGATGCTCAGACGCAGGTCCTGTTCCCAGAAGGGGTTATGGGGGGGGGGACACCAACAGGCTGGCCCCACAAGCACAAGGAAAGAAACAAGACTCTAGAGCACAATTCAGCATTTATTGCAGCGCTAACAAGATGCTGGGGGCCCCACCATGCCTGCCTCTACCCTCTTCACATCCCCCTCCCTCCAATCTTCTCCAAGCCTCCTGCCTAGAGCATTCCAGATCCCCTCACACTTTTCCTAGTTCTTCTCTGAAGCTGAAACCTGGACAAGGGTCACTACCGAGGCACTCTCACCCTTCACTGGCATCTTTTGTCCATTCTCCTGGGGCTGGGGTACTAGGCTGTGCTGGCCCCCACCTCCCCACCTTCAGTGCCCACCGTCTTTGTCTCCCTTCGGGAACTCAGGGGGCTCAGGCATCCTGGCCTCTGGCTCCCTTCTTCCCTAGCCCCCAACTCTGGGCAAACTACAAAGCATCCATGGCCAGCAGCTCCCTTCTGTAGTTCTAGCCAGGAAGGGCCCAGCCACAGTGAAGCCCAAGTCACAGGCCCTCTCAGCCTCTCTGTGCTTCCTGGGACATGGAGCGGGACAGGGAGCGACGAAGGGCACCAGGCTTGCTGACGGGCACCACAGGAGGCAGCTGCTTGGTGATCTCAGCCACCTCCTGGCGATCCGCACACTGGCCACCCAGGGCTGTCTCCAGCGCCAGCAGCTCCTGTAGTGGGATGGGGGTATCCTCGCGCTCCTCTTTGGTGGCACCCACCTTGGCGGGCGTGAAGATAGGTAGTGGCAGCACCCGCTGGTAGGGAAGCTGGTACTCCTGAAGCCCACGGCCGAGGATGCCCATCCGCATCACCAGCCAGGGGGAGCACTGCACCAGTGCCTGGCACTGCCCCTGTCGGTGGTAGGTCTCCCGCCGCTGGGCATCCTCTTCATGCAGAGAGCAACTGTGAAGGAGAGGAGTGGGGGACCCTGAGCTCTGAGTGAGGGGCTCCTAGGATCTGGGGGACAGGAGGGGCGACTCTACTTCACTCTCTCCAATGGGCACTCTTCCTGCCCCACCCTCAGAAACTTCTCCAGGGCTTTGTGCTGTGGCCTTATGTGGCTCAGGGAGGCTGCACTGGGGAAGCAGGGGTGCTGACCCAAACTCACCCCTCCTCAGGCCGTGTAGACAGCGTCAGATCCTTCCACTCAGCCCAGAAGGCCTCTCGGCGCTCAGAGTTCTCCTCGGACACCTGGCAGCTCAGCTCCGAAGTGGCCATGATCACTCCTCACACCCTCTCTGCTCTGCTCCTCCCAGGCCCTTTAAATAACCCCCTCCTCCCGCTTCTCCAGGGGCTATTTTCGGCCCCTCTGGCGTCAGATGCTATAAGCAGAGCCAAGACTCACTGATGGGGGGACTCTGGATCCAAGGCAGGGGCTGTGGTACCTGGGCACTGGGTGCCCCAGGCCAGAGGTCTGGGCTGGGGTCCTCAGAGCAACACCTCCAGGTGCCCTACACTCCTCAGACACTGTCTCAGACCAACCATGTGCCCAGCCTTGTGTCTCCTTGGCACTTGCCCTCTGCCCCACCCACACCCTCTTGCTCAGGGAGGACAGCAGCTTGTCAGTAAACAGAGCAGGAACTGGTGCCCCTTCTGAGCTCTGTACCGGGACTGCCAGGTCCTGCCCGGCGGCCCTCTCCTCTGTCTGGGCTCAAGGGCACATCCTCAGACAGTTCCCCTCCACTGGAAGAGACAGTATAACCACGTCCTCAGGTGCCTGCCCCAAAAGCCTAGTCCCTGACCAACACCAGCAAGGTTGGGGGATGCTAGTTCCACACCTGGGACCCTGGGGCATAAGCCTTTGCCAGGTGTTTTCCTTTCCCATGGTCAGTGGTCAGAGAAGTGGTCTCTTCTGGGGGTGGAAGGAGCCCCCAGCTCTACCTCAACATGCCACGTGGGGTGAAATGGGAATCCAGGGGCCCCGACAAATGGCAGTCAGAAGACCTGGCCCCAGCCCCAAATTGGCCATAAATAGGCTGGGTCAGTCTCTGCTCCTCCCTGGGCCCCACTTTCCCCTTTCTGGCCACAACAAGATGGCTGAGAGCTCTGGCCCCTGCCAGCAACATGTGCTACCTGGGAGGGGGCTGGTGTCATTCACAGGGAGCAGGGGAAGAAGACAACTGTGGGACAGCGCAGGACCTAAAGCTAGCAACTCGTGCAAGAAGCTGACATGCAGGTGGGAGAATGAGGGCATTGCTAAGTAGACAATGCAAAGGGCCCAGAAGAGGCAGTGACGGGAGCTGAGCAGAGAACCTTGTGGGGACAGCAGAGCCAGCTGCTGGTAAGGCCCATGGACACCCAGCAGGGTACAGAACTGCATACTACTGATTACTGTGGCACTATGCCTGATTGTTGATATCTTTTAATCTTGAAACAACCCTATGACATTAGTCCCATTTTCACAAAGTAGGAAACAGGCTATGAGGTAGATTTGGTCAAGTTCGCACGCCTAGCAGGGCCAAGATAGGATCCACCTGGCTCTAAACAAGTCTGTTTCTTTAGAAGCCTGCAGGGCAGGCAGGCAGGGAGGAGGGCAGCGTCCTGGCCCAGGCTCCGGAATGCCCCTGGTGGGGTTGCTAAGGGGTAGAGGGGGTCAGAGTGGAGCCTGGGAGACCCAGGGTTCCGAGTGGTTGAGACCCCCAAGGTGCCAATATGTCCCTAAAATTCAGGGCCTATCTCTAGCCACCCTTAACAGTCAAGGCCTGTTGGGGACACTGCCTGTGCCTCCTCCTACCCCGCCTCATCCTACACTAGAGACCTCAACCTGCCCTCCTGAGGCCTGGCTGGGGCAGGGCATTTTTCTCTGACTTGTCATCTGCTCACTTGAACTGGTCAGGCTGTGGAGGGGGGAGTGTTCCAGGAAAGACTCCCACTGGCTCTGCCCTCCGTGATGTGTTGCCACTCACTCCTTCCCCATCTAAGCTGCTGCCCTCCTCTTCCCTCCAGAGGCCAGGCAGAGGGAAAGGCTGCTTTTTTTGTTCATATTTTTAATTGGCTCAAATTACAAAGGTCCCCAAGGAAGCCCTGGGAGGAGGGAAACAACCTGGGAGAGGCAGAGATATATTGCCAGCACCCACCGCCCCCACCTGCCACCCACTCCCCACAAATGTATATGGAAAAAGGTTCCAGAGCTAAAAAACTGATGGGAGAGCAGGCAGATGAAGGGCTCTTTCACCTAACATCTGGTGACAGGCAACCCTGACCTGTCCTACCCAGGGCAAGGTAGGAGACCGCAATCTCCTCCAGAAAGTTGGGATACCCCATGTAAACATGAGCAGGACAGACCCTATGTCCTCCAGCCAGCAGAGCCCCAGAGTCTGAGCACTCAACCCCACCACCTGCTCAGGACCATGGCTCCAGCACAGTGGCTCGGTGGAGGGTGGAAGCTTGGGGCCAGGTCCTCTGTGGGCAGCAGGAAGCCCAGCTGGGCCCTTGTCTGGTTCTAGAGGCTGTGGCAATAGGACCCTGGCCGGCAGGGTGGGCAAGGAGGCATGATCATGAGCGGGGCCCCAGCTCCCCGACGCGCTGCCGCAGGTGAAAGGCAAATTCAAACATGGTGGCTGCAAGGCTCTGGTGGATGAGGTACCGGGGCAGGCGGCCCTGGGGGAAGGGAGGCAGAAGTTACAGGCTGGTTTGTCCTCAGCAGGATCCCCCCCACAGGTGGTCCCAGCAGGTGTGCTCTGGGCCAGAATGCAGGTGCAGCTCTGGAATCCAGCCTGGGCCACCTCCCCCCAACTCCCAGCAGGAAGAACATGCTGTGCCCAGGTCTTGGCACCAGTCACACAAACAGACCTGGGTGAGGCTAAGCTGGCAGCCAGCCACCCCTTCTCAGGACCTCGGGAATCAGATGTAAGAAGAAGGGCAGCTCGGCGCCTATAGCTCAACCGGCTAAGGCGCCAGCCACGTACACCTAAGGTGGCGGGTTCGAATCCCCAGCCCGGACCCGCCAAACAACA